GAATATATATTCATTCTTTGCTCATCAAAGTTTAATATTGTTGAATAGAAAATGACAGATAGTGTTAAGAGTGTGATAGACTTATTCGCCTATAAATTTATTCTAATCTTGAACGAATACTCATGTCATTTGAAGCTGTGAATAATATATACGACAAGATGCTTATATGAACTAAATCTTAGGAAGTCAAATATATTATTGCGTAAAGTATTATTATTTTTCAATCAATAAAATTTAATTTTCAAAACAAGTAAGTTTCTTTTATTGAGCCATATTATAATAAGAGAAAATTAAATAACTCGCAATCATGCCTTATCATTGACAACGATGCATTAGATAGTTCATATTTTATGACATGTCAACAAGTGTTTAGATTAGAATGTTTAACATCGTAATTTTCTAATTTTGATTGATGACTGTGATCGATACATATAATCGTCTTCGTATAAAATTTTCCAATGGAAGAAAACGTAATGAAGTTTTCTATAGTAGAAAACAGATTTTTTTCAATCCAACTGGCGTACACTCTGTTTATAATTTATTCTACTTGAGTTGAAAATTGAATTACGAATACTTGAATGTATTTTTTCAAATATATGTTTATTAGTGATGAGCGGAACCAATCGGTTTTTGTCCCGGTCAGAAAATAATTTGATCCCGATCTCGGCGGAATCGAGACCATCTTGCTCATATCTAATATTTATTCATCTTTGAATCGAATCGTTTATAACAAACGGATAAAATATTCTATCTAGCTAATGGATTCGTTTGACTATAGCACTATATTGATTTTTGAATCAAAAATTAAAACAAATAAAATATTAGTCTTGTTAGTGAAAATTAGTCCGATACAATTCAATAGTTTTAAAATCTATTTGAAAACTTTTCTCTTGAAAATTCCATTAACTTTACCAAATTTTAAGAATCAAAAATATTTTAAAAAATGAAGAAATCTAATTAAATGAATGAAAACTTTAGTCTTATCTATGTTTTTCATTTTAAATAGGGTTAGAACAAACCTAAAGCCTTAGAAATTATTTTGTAGTATGGATTTGATATGAAATTTCATTTTGACTCAAGTTTGAAGTTGGTAAGATAAGATGTCATCAACAACGTTCAATTTTACCAGGGACGTGGCACATCCAGAAAAAAGCTATTCGACTTGGTTTTATCTTCGCGCAAAGATATCTTAAAATTCTATAACAATTATTAAATTCAACACTATTTACATGAATTTAATCGACAAGCAAATCTATGCTTCACAACCAAATACAAACTTATAAATTGATTCTAGACTTATTGCATTTCTAATCTCCATTGTTTTTGAAAACAGTCAGTTGTTTAATAGTCATTTATTTATCTTAAGAAAATCACCATTAAAAAAATAGCCTGAAAAAAATCCAAGAAAAAAAATCACTCCAACTATTAAAAAAATCCCATTTTTCTTTAGACGATAAAAATAAAGTTCATATTGCACGTATTTTCATTCACAATGGAAATTAAACTGTTTGTAATGATCGATCAATTCCTAAAAGAGGCGGATCACGATTGGTTTTTCGTAATTGAAGACATAAAAACATCACAAATATAATAATAACAACTGCAACAATAACAATAGCAAGAACTGTTATTAATTTTTTATTACCATCAGCTAAATACAAAATATAAAATGAATTTTATATAACAAGTTTCTTTTTATTTACTTGAAGGTGGCATAGGTGGATTTTTTTTTGCACATTCAATATCCGCAGTAGCTGGAAAACGAGGTTGATAAATGCTTGTAAAGTTATCAAATGGACAATTATATGCTTGACAACCATTTAATAAATATGGATAAGATGTATTTGAATCTGTTACATTTAAATATTCAACTTTAACAAAATATGTTGAATCTATTTTTTAAGAGAGTTATATTTTTTTTAATAAATTTAAATAATACAAAAAACCGTTACTTTGTTGATAAAGGTCAATGAATATTGCTGATGCATACTAAATAAAAAGTAATAATATTTAAATAGATAGAATTAATGTTTTTATTCTAACCTGTGGTTGATGAGGATAATTAATACCAAGAAATGAAAGAACGGGACTGACAGTTGTGTCATGCTATATAAATAGAATATTATCAATTAAAAACAAAAAGAAACAACAATACTTTTGTGACTTACAGCTGAATACATTTTAACCTTGTGAAAAGATTTTCCATGTACCGAATCATTCATATTCAACCAAATATCTTGTACTAAAGGGCCTAAATAAATAAATTTTTTTCTTGCATATACTATTGATTTACAATTATCAAACCTCCTCGAATTCGCTTTGTATCATTATTTTCATAAAGAAAATGAAATGCAAGGTCATTAATATCGGATAAATTTTGTCGAACAGCCTCATCTGCCCATGCTGGAGCTTTATTATAAATATGCTAAGAAAAAAAGTATAATCTATTGAAATAAATCTTTTTAATTATTTTTCTTATTCTTTACTTCAACAAATATTGTATCCGCTATATCCCAAGCATTATACACGGTTATATTAGTCATATTTGTCCATTCTTCGAGTTTTTTAAAAAATGGCTATAGATAAATAAATAAATAAATAAATACTGAAATAGATAAGAAAATAATTTTACTGCATAATATTCATTCATTTTTTTCACTTCGTCGCTTTGATCTACTTCATCTTCAAGTTGATCATATCTTGGACAATCATTCTGACCAAGTAACTAAAACAATAAATTAATTTTATTTCTTTTTCTTTTTGTTATTTAAAATATTCTATACGAAATCTAGATGAATTGATACTGTATGAATTGGAATTGGTTGTATTGGAACTTTATCATTAGTAATATTATGTATTGGATAAAGACCGACAAGATTTGATTGAGCTGACATTAATGTTCGATCAACATCTGTTGAACGAACAACAACTTCACTTGGCGTATAATTTGTACTAAGTAATGATTCATAACGATTACGAAGATATCCACCGAGACGATGTTGTTGTTCAATACCGGCGACTGTCAACTGACCTAAGCTAGAATAAGTAAAAATTCCTTAAAAAGTATTTAAAAAAATTTTTAAGATAAAATACCCATTAGGCCAATCACTTGGTTTTACTGGATCCGTTGGAAATGTCGTGACAGGTGTTCGATCTCCATGTCTGTAAATCTATAATATTTTCAAGATAATTTATTTTTTTTACATTTGTCAAATAATTAACTTACAACATGGCTTGCTATAAGTTGCATTTGTTGACCATTAATTTCATTTAAGGAAGTTAAAAAAATGAAAATCAAGAAACATATTATCGAACTTCCCATCATAAATCAATGGTACAAAGAAAATCTTCAAGAAAAATCAAAACATATTTAATCACTATTCATTAAATTGAAAAAAGACAACTCTCCCATTTTTATCCTTTATGAGAAATAATTACAAAAGTAAAATGTTGGCTTGTGCATCTGTTAGAAAACTGTAGTAGAGTCAATTTTAAGAGCGACCAGGGCTTTTTGAATTGCCTGCTAATAGATTAGATTGACTACTACGGAGTTTTTTTTAAGACTAATTTTTATTCTTTGATATTCAACGTACAAACTGAGGCATTTTACGGGCCTAGATTTATGTCTTTTAAAGATCTCACTAAGATGGAGAAAAGTCAATGTCAACCATGTTAATTTCGATACGACATACACTTAAACATTATGTCATCATCTATCGTGAAGTTCATCCCTAAGTCAATATAAACTATATATACAATAGTTCTTTAGATATCGGCTCTACGCAGAGTTAAATTTTTCAGATTTTCATAATAGTTCTTTATGAAGAAAACGACTTGATTGTTGCATTAAATATTTTGTTTGAAATTTCATGATATAACCTATCAATATACATGGAATAGATTTTTATAACTAAATAGATCGTTGATAGATAAATGAATACAATAATTTAAAGCAATATGTTATAATGGATGACGGAAGTAATCGTTAGTATCCTTCATAACTTAATTTTTATTTACAACGGAAATTAATTGGTCATTTCCTGCTATATGCTTGAATGAGAACAATAATATGCGGAAGTCATTGGAAGATAGAGTACAAGGGAGATAGAAGAAATTAATAAATGTCAAATAAAAGAAAAAGACAAAAAAAAACCAAGAATCAGTAAAAAACACTGAATCAATTATTGTTTAATTCATATTCTACGTGCAATTATAATCATTATTAGTCATTATTGAAGCGTGTATTCAATGGAATAGAGTTTTACAATGTTATGTCAATTCTTAAATCCATTATACACAACATAAGAAAACCTACTGTATCAATACCGATGAGCTATATCCTCATTACGAAGCTAAACTTAATACAAAACAGTACAATATAAATCTGAAAAAGAAGAAGTCGATAAAGCAAAAGTTGTAAACAGTATAGTATTGTTCTGCTTTTAATTATAAGAATTTACAAGGCACACACATAAACTTTAAAGCTCAAAAGAAAAAAAAAGAAGCAAAGACCAAGTTTTACAAGCTATCCAAAATCACGAAAAAAAAAAGAACCTTCACTTCCATATAATCTAGAGAAATATACGGTTATTACAGTAAAATATTGCAAGATTAGAAGACAAACATTTATTATGATTTTAATGACTAGAGTCTACAAATAAAAAGAAATTAAGCATTGCGTAATTCATTAAATATTGCCAAAGGAAAATATTTGATATGTGTATGCCATTGTGATGAGATTTGGAAGAATTTCACATTACTCCATTCTTGTCCATCAACATTTACTAAAACATAAACTTTCATTTACGGTTGAATTCAAAATATCATATTTACCTTTTAGTTCCACATTATGCGATTTTGACGTACAAACAAGACGATTGATACCTGTTATAACTTGAGGTTCAATTATTTTAGCATTCGATACATCCTTAAGTTTTTTACCAAATTTCATAACTAAAAAAGAAAATATCCATAGAAACCGAAAAATTTCATTACACAAAATGTTATTCAAATCTTCTGTTGATCTTCTTATTTACTTTTCTATTTTATTGATTATTAATAAATCAACTTATTCAAATAAATATTTTTCAAAACGTTTTAAACGACAAACATCAAATTATCAAGTAAAATGTTCACAGCAAAGTACCGCCGTTGATCAAGTTATTCAATATAATAAAACTGAACAAACAAGAAAAAAACGTTTTGTTCTTTTTCCTGAATTTGTTAATTATAAAGATGATTGGCGTTATATAAATCGACCACAAGAATTTGTTTATTGGATTGCAAATTTCTATCCGAATAGAATCAATACAAGTTATATTCGTCAGTCTATAAATTATGTTATTCAAAACATTAATGCAGTTATAGATAACGATATAACCATACAGGAAGGAGCTGATCCAGGTGAAGCTAATTTTCATTTTAATTTTTTTGATTATACCAAGTGTCCACTCGATGATATTCCAGAAGCAACTACCGATAATATTCAAATATTAGACACACTTTACATCTATTCAGCTGAGATAGCCAGACAAAGTCGATATCGTGCTCATGGTGGAATACATCTTGCAGAAAATGATAGAGCAATATCCACAATTAAATTTAACATGCAACAAAAGTTTCTTGTTTCAGATGATTTTGTTTATGATCCAATTATATATACATGTATTGAAAAAACAAATGAATGTGAAATTGATTTGCATTGGGCTTTATTACATGAAACATTACATGGATTTGGTATAGAGGTAATTATGTTATAGTCATCCTTACATGACAGATTAATATCGAAAACATTAAATAAAGGACGGGAAGAGAGCGTCAATAGTTAATGAAATTATCCTCCTACAGTCATATGATTTCTTTCATGTCTAACTTTCATGCGCGGTGTCCGCAGACTATTTCTAGTAGAATTAGACCTATAACACTTGTTTGTGCAGTGCCCGATCGATTGAACTAGTTGATGGCTGTCGTATACACACTATATATACCAGCTGTTAAGAATGAACAACTCTTTCATCTATCCATCTGAATGTCGACTAGATTAGTATTCATTTGACTCGATATCAATTTTCGATGGTTTCAAAATAGGGATGAAAATGTCAGAGAAAAAATACTGTTCAATATGACCTCACATGAAGCACATTATCGTACTATGCCTCTAGTACTAGTGTTGCCGACTGAAAACCTGTGTCGACGTCAACCAATTTTATCGCCAATCAGCGTTATTTTTATATAGTTTGATAGTATTTTTGAAAGGATTCAAAATGATATAAAAAGCATCGAGAAAAGGCACTCACTACACAAAGAGTTTACAAGGAGAATATTCTTGAAAGATAATTTTACGATTTTTTGCTTGATGCGTAGTATATTTCTATTAGAAACATACTATTTAGATAAAAGCTAATATGATATTCTGACTGAACACCCAGAACTGAGTGAACTTGTGTATATTTCAAAAACTTTTGTAGTCTTATGTTTCGTCGAAAATTTCACCCCCAGTCCCTTCAAGATTGGGTCAAAAGAAACATCTCATCGAAAACTAATTTTGATAGTAGAGATCAAGTTCTAAGATTATGAAACGATAGTAGAATTTTGAGTAGCACGTCAATAAACAATAAAAATAGAGTTTTCATGAAAATCATTTTCTTTGCCGAACCTATAAGGGGACAACGAATGAATTTTTCGACTGCCAAAAAAAAAAGTTGCGAAAATTTTTGAAACATACGTAAGCTCATTCAGTTTTGGATGCTCATTCAGAATTTTCATATTAGTTTGTATCCAAATCGTTTATTCTAATAGAAATCGACGAAAAATCAAGAAACAGAAATCGTAAAGTTATGCCTCAAGAATGGTATCCTTGGAACTTCTATATATGGCCAGTGTTTTTTTCCTCTATGTTTTTATATTATTTTGAATCTCACGAAAGGTGCCATTGAAGCATATAAAGATAACCTCATCAGATGGAATCTGAGAAGATAAAAACTACTGATTATCATCAACAGTCTGATTCAATGTGTTAGCAACGGTTATTGACTATTCCAAACGAACTGTGCACGATACAAATGAATGCTATGTGACTAATTCTACCAGGGCTCACTTTCAGACACCATGTGTGATAGTTTGACATAGAAAAAAAATTACATTTCTTCAGGAAGCCATACTCCACAGCTATTGACCTCCTCTTTTGAGAGTAAAATTTACTTCAAACATGAACTATTATCCTTTGTGAAAATCTTCAATTTATGTGAGGCCTAGAATGATCACTACTGAACAGAAAGATGTGTCGGAATGTAATTTATTCACTATTTAATTAAATTTTTTTCGGGATTTCCATAATACATTTGAACAAAAAATTCATTTTATCTTCTATTATCTCGACCTCTGAAAAGTGGCAGTGCCACTTCGAGGTACCGTTCATAAGAATCTGGAATACGTCATTGTTTCACACAAAAAGATAGATAAAAAATCTCGGCACACAAAAAAAATACAGTATGAGATGCGTTTCGTTCGTGCATCAACGGAACGTTTAATAATGAGAAGTACGACATGTCTACTTGATATGCGATCAGCAAGCATATAGTCAATTCGCTGACAAACTCAATTATGTATATTAGAATTACATTTTTTCTTTGATCCAAAATAGAATTATAAATTCATATGTGAGTTGATTATTATCAACATTTTTAAAAAGCATCTCTTTCCTCTTTTTTGCTTGATTAAATTTAAGATCCCGAAAGATAGTCTCGAATTCCCACAAGTGGAATATAACGTCAGTTTCCGTTCTTTGAAACTCACAGCACATAGCAGTGTCATATAAATATATACGCAAATTTGCATGAATATCTCAATGAATATTGAAAAATTACTAGAAAACAAAGTTTTAGATGCCTTTTCGTTCCTTGCGAAGAGAATGTTCAGGAACGAGAACTCTGATACTGTTATTATAAAGGATAACTCGATTATCAAATTTCAGATAGATTGTTTCGATTTTTGTCTTTTTCGAATAGGTAAAAATCTCATTTGTCTATATAAATTCATTCAAAAAATTGAAAACAAACGAGTGATTGGCAAATTTTTGGACAAGATACTTGTTCACTTTGGACGTATTCCCAATGAGCCAAAAGCTATGACTTTGTACTCTTTTCGAATATATGATTAGAACTTTGTTTGAAAGTACTGAAACAACCTTTGACAAGTCTAAATAATTAGTTTGGACAAGAAATTTTGTATTTTCACTATAGTGATTCGAAACTACAACTTAGGATCTTTATTTATACATCAACCTCGTAGATCAAAAGTTACTCTAAAAAATGAACTATTTCTCTTTTTTCCAGATGCTCATGTTTAAAGAATCAACAACCGTTTTACATTAAAAGAATCCCTTGAAAAATTCCTTTAGTAAAAGCTATAACTTAGTTCAATATCACATTTTGTAGAGAAGCGTGCGCACTAAAAACCGATTGACTGCGATAATTTTCAGCATGTTCGAAATAAACAAAAACCTACTCATTCGTCATAAAAAAAAAATTTTCAGGCCTTCCAAAAAGTTCCTCACTATTCTCGAACAAAAATAGACACAATTTTTCTAAACCAATATTTAAACTCTGATTGTGGTCTATAGTTTTTGGTTCGTCTGAAATGCTTCAAGTAGACCGAAATGAACAAATATGTTCATTAGCAACGTGGATCCACAAGTTTCGTCTAAAGTAAGTTTTTTGGTCTTTTAAAAGATTATCTCACTACTTTCGAACGAAATTTCTAATTCTATATGTGAAAAGAACACAAAATCATAACTTTTGACTCTTCGGAAATACCTTCAAAGTGAATAAACCTCTTATTTAAAAACTTGCCAATCATCCGTTATCTATTAATTTATAATACAAACTCTTTCATCTAACTGAATCTTTCATACTTTTCAAACATTAAATCAAATCTAATAATCGATGCTTTCTACAAACCGGATCAATGTGTGTTTCTTATGAAACCCATTTATGTCAAAACGTATAATTAACTAACAAATCTATTTAAGTATTTTATTTTAGACGAAATCAGTTCGTATTTTTTTCGGAACCAAATCGATCCGATTTCTCATGAATTCAACTGTTAAATTTTTTTATTTCTAGCATACAACAAATGCTGAAAAACCGATTGCACCAAATCCACATATGCAATCTGTAATGCATTTTTCAACATTTCGTATGCTTTGTCACGACGATATACGAGCAATACGTATGGTTTATAATTTTCCTGTTAAACGTGAAAATGCTGTCTATGATGATACATGTCGCCGTGACTTTCCAATGACTACATTGCAAAAATCAATGTTTTTATTAGGACGAATGTTTATCTTAAGTTTACTGGCATTATTAATTGCCAGTGTAATTATGTTTATTCTAACCTTAATTTATATATTACTAAGGTATTTATGTAATCGAAATTCGCAACAATTTGAAAAACAAACATCAAGCATATCAGCAAGTTCATGGTTAACAAAAGATAAAAAACCCATGATATCTGGTCAACGTAAAATTAAACCTCACGCTTATTTATGGCATGATGAAATGCTTTAAAATATATGTAAAATAGTAAACTTACTTTTTTGTTTTTTTTCTCTTGTTACATAGGTCATTGTTAAAGGTGATGAAATTTTTCCGTCAAAATTTATTGTTGCTTGTCTTGTTATAGTTAATATACGAATATTAGATTTTAATGATGATTTTATTGTTCGTATTCCATCTTTTTTTTCCTTTTGATTATCATTATTATTATTAGTAGTAGTAGTATTACCAACTATAGTCCAATAATCAACAGATATATCAAATGGTGACGTTGTTTCATCTGTATGTGAACTTTTTATTAATGTATTTGTAATTTTTGATTGAGGCGAAGTTGTTAGTATTGTTGTTGAAGTTTCTTCATCAGAAGAATCCTTTGATTCACGTTGTGGATTTGTTGATAAAGACAAAGATAAAGATTTTGATAAGAGAATATTATCATCAATTGATGACATTTGATTGTCATTTGATGTTGATGATAATGTACCAAGACGAACATACTAAAAAAAAGAAATATCTAGTTCAATAAACAAAACAACAAAATATATTTACACAAAAAAATGGTAAGAATGTTGGTGATGAATCTTCGTCTGGTCTAAAATAAAGATAAATATAAGAACAAGAAATAATTTGTCAACAAGATTGAATATTGATGTTAATATGTATAAGTTGATGAAAAAACAAAAACAAATATTAATTGTAATATGCTCAAGTACACATATTAATGGTGATTAAGCGTTTTTACTTCTATCAAAGTGCTTTGCTAACCGTTGCTATTTATCTTGTTTGTAATGCGTCATTCATATTTTATAGATTGCGTATTGATCCCTTCTCTCTGTCCTGTGTAAAGTATCAATATAACAGGTTTAAAGAAATTTTGATATCAAGGTCTAGCATATAAAACTAATTTAACAAATAATATAAAGTTTCATTTACTGTTAACGTTATAGATAAAGACTAAATCAATGTAGTTTTTCGCATATAGATCATACTACCATGCAATGCCTATCTTAGTGCTACAAGACAGTATATTTAGCTGTTGAACACTGTTCAATCCCCTACCTTGTCTATGATTAGAATTCAGTGAAGCAAAGAATACTCTAAATAGGTTTGCACTCATGTGTTATTCAGTCAGAGTTATGACGGCTTTAGTGAAACTTTAGCCTTTGAACTAGCTATTCAGAGACAAATCACTCACTAGATATGTCTCATAATCACTAAAATATCTTAAAAGCTTGATCGCACACATATGTACTCTCCTTGAGATATCAAGTATCCTACGAATGTTTATATATAACAATGTAAGCTATAGAATTAAGTTGTCTTAGACGCTTGATTTCTCAAGAAATATACAATCGTTTGAGCTGACAGTTTAAAGATATTCTAGCGACTGTGAAGCCCATATATGAAGAGAATTTGAGACGAAAACTTCCTAATTGAGTTTCTCATGAATAGCTACCTCAAAGGCCGAAAATCAACTAAAAATAGTTATAACTCTGGCAAGGCAATACATGTGTTCGAACTCTTTTTCATGTTTTGTTAGTTTCATAGGATCGTACTAATAACTAAAGCATAAAGTGAAACGGCATCCAACCGTTGAATATGTTTTCTTGTAAGTAAGAGACAATTTTCAATTTTTTCGTCAGTAGATCCCGTTAAAATTAATGATTTCATTAAACGAAAACTAAAACCTACAATCGTCCTTTACGATTAAGCATTACTTCACCAACAGGTAATGCAAGTGTTCGTTGAGATGTTTTTAAATATCGTGTAATCTTTTGTGATAATTCTCTGATATCTAAACGATTGAAAAAAGAAAAGACATCATTTTGTAATTGAAAAATTATCTTTACCTATAGCTTCATTCGATAATTCAGTTCCTCCAAATAATGATTCATATTGTGAATCTAAACTTCCAAGAAACTTTGCCAAATAAGAAAAAACTATAAAATAATACCATCAAAATTTTTAAAGCACAAAGAAAAACTATGTCTATGCAATTACTTAATGGAACAAAATAAAAACGAAAATAATTCATATATTCATGTGGTCTTGATGCCAAACATTCGACATAAGATTGAAGAAATGAATTAACAAATGCATCATTACCAAGTAAAACAATACGTAAAACGGGAATTTGTTGTGATTGACTTATACTAATAAAAGGAAATAAATCGAAGTTTATTCTTTATAATTTTATATAAAACAAAATGCAAACTTTTTCTGAATTCGTTGAATTAAATTATTTAAAGCAACTTTAGCATCAACTAAAGTTGAAAGTGAAATAACTGATAGATTGTATTCTTTAAATTTTGATGCATTTATCTATTTAAAAAAATAATCATTCAAAATAAATTTTGAAAGAGAATAAAATATAAAACATACATTTGCTTGATTAATTCCGGTATATAGAAAAATAACAGTTTCTGGAAGACGATCATTTATATAAAGTTCATCTAATTGTTTAACAGCACTATCACGAACAGTCTAAATAATGAAAGGTTTTTTTTAAGATAGATAAGAAAAGAAAACTAAATTCAAGACGAACTGTTGTAAGAGGACGTGATGGTTTTTCTTCAAGTATGGACATTACTGCTGGTGGAGGAATATTTGTTCGTTCAGCATCAATTCCCAAATCGGATCCATCCGAATCCTTTTTATTATTTATTATATTATTAATTAGGAGTAATTAATTTTTTTTTGTAAACTTACTAATGGACTATCATTACTATCAAATGGATTTGTTGATTTCCTTGTCATATTAGGATCATCTTCTGACTAAAAATAAATAAATAAAAATGATTGTTTATTATTATTATTTTTTTACTTAAACTTACAAATTTAAGTACTTGTAACTGTTCCACAGGTGTAAAGCCAGGTTTAGGTACAGATTCAATACTCCATTGATCAACTGGTATAGTACTATCACTTATATCTGATAATTGATCTTCTTCGATATCAGATTGTCGATCGAATATAAATCCATGATGTTCATGAGATGAACTCGTTGTGTTTGTTGTTGTTCTATTTGTATTACTGTTTTGATTATTTGTTGTTTGATTTGCTTTTCTTTTAAACATTTTTATTATCTTATTTCGTAATATATTTGTATTAAATTTTTGTTGTTTAGTTTTTATATTCATTTCAAGATCACTATCTTCTAATTCAGAATTTAATTCTTCTTCTTCAACATATTCATCATCATCATTTAATGATTTATCTATTTAAAAAAAAGACAAGGATTTTGAAGAAGAAAATATACATTGCTTTTATTTTAACGGGTTATCAGGAAGTTTTTAGATAAGATGTATACTCACTTTTGATATACTGGAAAGTATTTCCAACGAGTTAAAAGCTGTGAGTTTGTGCTCTTTTCGAAAATAGGATTAGAAGCTGTTTTCGTTAGTAGTGAAATAATCTCTATAAAGTGCCAAAAATTAACTTGAACAAAAAATTGTATTTTTAGTATTGTCATTCGAAAGTAAAAGTTAAAGTCTGTATTTATATATCAGCTTGCAAATTAGAAACTCCCTTACAAAATTCACTATTTTTTGTTTTCATAACAATTCATTTTTGAAAAATTGACAACTATTTTACGTTGAAAGAAGATCATGAAAAATGTTTGTAGTCTTACTTGAGTGTAAGCTATAATTTACGAGAGAGACTCTTCAGATACATTCTACTGATTTCAGCGATTTTTTGTCTATGGATACTGCATATTGTTCTAATAAGAATCTTAAAAGGGTTTCATTTCCTATGAAGATTTGACTAAGTCATTAAATTTTTAATGTCTATTATCTAGAAGTCCCTAGTTTTCGGAAAACTCATGTTTTTTAGTTTTGATCTGAAACTTTACGTATATAGACAACTCAACTAGATTAGCTACCATAAGAATATTCAGAAGGTTTTCAACAAAATCTCTTGAAGATACACAGCTTTCAAAAAAATGCATGTTATATACTCTTCATGAAAATCTCATATCTCGCAGAGACTTTTTTTCAAAGCTTCTGAGCTGTTTTTATGTAAGTTATCCTAGTTGAGTTCTCTACACGTATGAGGATTCTGATTAAAATTCAGAAATATGAGTTTTCCAAAAGCCGAAGGCTTCTTAAAAACAAACATATTAAAAATTCGATGCTTTATTCAAATAGCAATATAAACCGAAATACTTTCAAACTTTTTATTAAAACACTATCCAGTATCTATTAACAAAAAGTCATTGAGATCGGAATGTAACAGCTGAAGGAGTTCTCTCTTTAGTTCATTGTCGAATTTCGCAGAGAAGTGTTCGCTCTACAAAACGATTGACTTCAACTATTTTTAGCATGTTCGAAAGGGTACTTATGAGATAAACAAAAACTGATTGGCTTAGTATTAAAAATAATTTTTTAAGTCCTTCAAATATTTCTTACTACTCTTGAACAAAAATAGACACAATACTTCTAAACTCATTTTCAAAGAAAGCGCAAAATTTTGGTCGCGACTTGTATTGTTTGGCTCGTCTGAAGTGCTTTCAAATAGGTCAAAATGAACAAATACATTCACCGGAAACCTCGGCTCTCGAGTTCAGTCTAAACTGATTTCTTGCACTTTTCAAAGATCATTTCATTACTCTTGAACAAAAGTTCTAAGTCCATATTCGAAAAGAAAACAAAATTATAAATTTGAACTCGCTGAAAATAATTTCTTGTGAATCAAAAATGAACAGACATAATATATAAAAAATTTTTGATTATCTATTACTCACCAAAATCTGCTATACGATGGCGATGATGATGATGACGTTTTGTTGATAAGCCAAATTTAGAACGTGTTGTTGTTGTCTGATCAGTTGATTCAGTTGGAATTGTACTTGACAAGGATACAATAGATACGTATCCAATAGGACGTTTTTGTGTATCATCGATTGCTCCACCTGAATTATCCTCATGAATAGGTGAACGTACATTTTGTTTGACTTTTTCATTTGTATTCAAATATAAATGCAAATCTAAACTTTGTGGCCGTTGAATAACCTAAATGAGAAAATTCAATATTTCTTTTTATTAATGTTTTTTATCAATTAAAAATAGGCAAATCTCATGAGACTATTGGTTAATGTCGTCAACAATAACCAAATGATTTCTCGAGTAGAAAATTAAATTATGTGTTTTTTTTTTGTTTTGGCATACCAATCACTAGGGTACTTCAATGAATTCTTTATTTAGGTTGCTTTCTATCGACTAATCAAAATTCTTTATATTACTGAGCACAAGAACAAATCTTTCATGTCAATGAAAAGTGCTTGGCAGTGATATCAACTTGAGCAAATTGTCTATATAATGTTCTTTTCTATTCACTTTTCATTAGTGTTAATATGATTAGATAAATAGATTAATTTGCTTCGAAATACAGTATCAATAGTCTTCAATGAACATAATTCTATTTTTGCAAAGTTTTTGCTATACTCAACAAGATTTTTTTTGTTTTTTTCTGTATATTGTTTAGACATCAGGTTCCTTTGTTTAGTATCAAAATTTTAAATAATAATGATAATGAATGTCAAAATTAGTTCAATAATAAGAATGTTGCTATAATTCTATTTCAAAAATGATAATTGTACTAATGAGAAAAGAATCATAAATTATTCTGACATGAAAATATGTCAAAGATCCTGATGACTATCTTAAACATAAACATACTTCATGGAGATTAATTTCACCACGTGCTAATGTTTTATAACCAATCATTGGTCGATTTTTCCGTCGTTGAATATATATCTGAATTTTATTAATATCTCGTTTAAAATAATGAGGATACTATTTAAAAGACAAAACAATTTTTTTTGTTATTTGAAAACCAAACAAACAAGATATATATTTACAGTAATTAAATATTGAAGATTAACTGGTGCATCTAATGTTCCATCTTGTTGAAGTGATATTTCACAACAACGAAATGTTCTTTTATTACTCTAATCAAAAAAAAGAAAAACAATCCTCAATTAATTTATATCAATAATCCTAGATCTAATATTTACTTGTATTTTAACAGCAACAACAATTGCATTTGAATCTGCACCATCGATGGCTCGATTTAAAACAACACGAACAATGCTGAATCTACAAAGTCTAAAAATAAAAACAAACAAAAAAAAACAAGATCTTCATTTATTACAAGAAGATAAATGTCTTATTAAATATACCTGGGTATACAAGTCGAACTATTATCGATTTCTAATTGTGCATAAGCCATTAATGTCGTAGCCATTTTTCCAGATGTTAATGTTCGTAAATTTTTTTCTGCCATTTAATTTTTTTTATTAAAACATAATGATATTTGTTTCTTGTTTAATTTTGAGTAAGACAAACAGAAATAACGACGATAAGAATACAAGATAAAAATGACCCAGATATATATATATATGTACCAAATATTTTATTCTGCGCTACAATCGATGAAAACCGTTCTATAATACATAGCGTTTTATCTTTCCATTGGCTGAAGAGTAATTATAGTTTTTCTTTTTCTGTTTTTTTTTTCTGTCTTTTCTATAAAATTTTTTAAATGGTTCATTGGAGTGAATACTTTTGGGGTGAAGGAAATCGGGGTTTCGAAGTGTTGTCAAGTAATGTTAAAAATGGTGCAATAGCTATTGAAGAATTTCAACGATTTCTAAATGAAAGGTATGTCAAATACATGATACAATACCAAAAGAATATTCTTAAGCCTTTCACATTGCATAATTGATTTTTTTTTCAAGGTTAGTCTTAAAAACCAAGGGCATCAGAAAAAATAATAAAAGTAGAGTAGCATTTATGGTAGAAGAATATTGTATGCGAAACATTATTTTTATATTGAGAAATATTAACGGAATTATCAGAAAACTTCGATAAATTTCGAAGGATGAGTTATGAAGTATCAATAAAGACTCAGAAAAATCTGTGAAAGTTATATAGAATAATTTCTAAATAAAAGAACACTTTTGATTCAACTGAAAATAGGAAAGAAAAACGAAAATCTTTAATGTCCTTAAGAAAGGTTTCAAGTACGCAAATTATTTATAAAAAGGTGTTTTTTTTCTTTTTCTTTAGTGTACAATGCGAATCAGTATACTATAAAAGTTTATCGCGTTTACAATCACAACTAATAAAAAGTCAATATTTGGGCACATTCACACCAATATGGAATTTAATGCGTGATCTATTCGATAAAATTTCTTCAGCACATTTAACAACTCTGAATTTTTACCAAGAGTTATTACGTGATATTCATGGCTATCAAGATTTATATCAAAAAAAAGTTAAAACACACATACAAAAGGATGCAGATATATTACGTACAGCTGAACTTATATCACAATTACATAATTCATTACATATACTTAACAAAGCTAAAGAGCAATATCATTCGATTGCATTAGATCATGAACGAGCAAAACGGATGGGCAACGGTTTAGTAAATACTTCATCATCAACTACATCACAAGAAAATAATTCATCAAGCCTTGCTCAAACAACATTACATGTATTAGCAATGAATAAAATAGAACGTTTAGAAAAAAAATCTCGACTTGCTCAAGATGAATATAAATTAGCAATTGAAAAATATAATGCAATTAGAAATGAATATGAAAAGCGTTTTCATGATGGTACATTTTAATCTATTGAAATAAAACTTTTTTAAAATTCTTGTTGATTTTTGTTTAGCTTGCACAAAATTTCAAGATTTTGAAATCGATCATATTGAAAAAATGCTTGTCTTTTCATTAAATTTTTCTGAAATGCTTCAACGAAATCAAGAACAAATAAGAACAGCACAAAATGATTTTAACGAGAAATTAAAATTATTAAGTGGAAATGATCTTTTAGATACGTTTGTTGAACAAAAGAAAACAGGAACAGATCGACCAAGTAGAAAAAAAACAAAGAATTATTTTCTTTTATTTTATGAATAAACTACATTCTTCGATTAATTTCTATAGTTGCTTTACAAATTGAAGAAGTTGATAATCTTAAAGCATCAACAAATCCCACTACGCCTGATGCAATAAGTGGCCAGGAGGATTCAAATGTAATTGATCAGTCAGACGCAGGCGTACCTTCATTTCAAGCTCATTTTCCTGTTTCATCATCAAATACAAAAAGTGGTGATAATAATAGTAATAATAATAATAATCGTGGTAAGAAAAAACAAAGAAACGATTGTTCTTTTTTTCTCATTAATTTTTTGTAAAATGAATCAATTGATTCAGCTCGACATCACTATCATCAGTTTTTTCACGGTTTGTATGATATCTATAAGCGTGCATTCAAGCATATAGTAATAGTGGGAGAAGGAAAACATATATATGAATAGAAAGCAAATCATTTTCTGACGCGGGAATTTCATAACTGCATGCTTAGGTTATTGTATTAATTATTCAATTAATCAATGAGCTTTTTCAGCTAAATAATAGAACAAACCAAAAAAAATAACAACCATAAATAATTCGTTTTCTTATTTTTATTTCTTTCCTTTAGCACTGTCACCACATTCTGCTACTAGTCATTCAAATTCACCAGCTCATAATCTAATAATATCTCCTACTTCAAACATTACGACAACATCTGTCAATGTTACGACGTCTAACAATCAAATGCTTCGTTCGCAAGAAACAAATAGTAGTAGTGAGCAAACATCGAATCCATTTGATGTCAAAATAAGAAGACCAAAGTTTGCAGGTATATTCTAAGATTAAATTTTAAATAGAAAAAGAACTTTTTTTTATAATAGGATTTTTCGGCACAAGTCGTAAAGATAAAAAAGAAAAGAAAAATGAAAAAAAAACATCTACAAATGCTAAATCTAGTAAAACTTCACAATTCCATCTATCACGTGATGAATCAAATGAAGTTAATTTACAAAATTCTAATTATGAAATCAATGATTTTAATGCAAAAACTGATAATCAAGATGGTTCTATTCCAAATTCTTTCAATGTTGATAAAACTAAATGTGTAAATATTTACTATATAAACTAGTTTTCTCTTATTGTCGTTTATATTTAATAGGCAACACCAGAACCATATATTCAATCAAATTCATCAATTTTAAAAAATGAGCTTACGCTTCAACTTCGTCATAGTGTAAATCCAACGTCTGCATCAAAAATATCAATTTCGACTGATACAAGTAGTGGCGATGATGATGATGATGATGATGATGATAATCCAATGTTAAAAATTGACTTTAAAATAAATCCAAAATCAGAATTTTCACCAGTAGCAGATGATGAAACAAAAATTGTTAATGCAATGCGTCTGATTGATAAAAATATGGAAAATTTTATAACAACTTCTAGAGGATTGCCAAACGTAAATGAACTAAACCAAAATGTCAGATTAAGATTTTCTATTTGGTTTTTAGAGAATGCCAGATTTGAACAAATCATTATCAGTTGAACCCATTAGTAAAAGAACACATCCACCACCACCACCTATTCCATTACGTGCAACTTTGTATAAAAGAAATTTTTACCTTTTTTTTTGCGAAAAATACAATAAAACATTTCTCAATGTGTATTTTAGAACTATATCAAATAGTATACCAACAGATTATACCGGTCACTCGAATATGTTTCCACCACACGATGGATTCGATCCGTTTCATTCAAATATGACTACCAATATTTCGACTAATCAAGAAAATCTATTTGCTCCTCTGCAGTCGACCACAGAAAGTACATAAATATTTTATCAAAAATATGTTAACACATATTTGCTTTAGGCAAAAATACAACATCAATATCATCCACTGACGATGATGCGGAAGTGGCTAATTCATTTCCTAATGAAAGTTTACCAACAAACAAAACAACTTTATTTCGTAAATTACAAGTACCTTCTTTTCGTCACGTAAATGTAAGGATTTATTATTTAGTTCATTTTAAAATATTACTCAATATCTTTCTGAAAGCTATCTTTGTGTATGTAATCGAAATAAATTTCTACATAAGTGAATATAATTTTCTTGCCGTTATCTACTTTATTGAAACTTGGATAGGATATGTCAGAATGTTCTTTTACAATAATATTGTTCTTGATGTGATTAATAAATATCGATTGGAATTTTTTCGTCAAATATTAAATTATGCTCAACGAACGCATACCAACGAGTTTTAACGAGTAATTTTACGCACGAGTAATAGTGACTGTGTCCTAGTCTTCTGTTAAATATGCAGAAATGTTTATTGAATAATCAGTACTAGTCGATGCTACATAAAGACGAAATATGAGAAAAGAATATAAAGTTTTAGGCGGTGTTGCCATGATATTGGTTAAGAGAGTTGTTGAGATAATTATAGATCTTATCCAACTCTTTATATTGATCTTTGCAAAAATGCCGAATCTATTTTTTTTGCATAAGAAATTTCAAGGACTTCAAATTATAATCTCTCATAAGTATAAATGATCTCTTATACTAACGAAGACAAAACTGACATTTATATTATTTTATAGGTATCAATGCGAAAATATTTTTTTGTAAAATGATTAAGATCTTCTTCATATATCCTTCTTCTAATAAGCTAATCATTTTACTTTAATAACCAAATGAAACTTTAATTTTCTATTCGTTCTTTTTTTCCATTTCTCTATTCAGCAACAACAACCACAGTGGACTTCGATTAGTCCATCAATTACTTCAACTAATCCAAATTTACATGATAGTCCAATGCCATCTAATGAGCATAGAATATCTCCATCAACTCCTGATACTACGGATCTAATTCCACTTGCAATTGCTTTTCAAGAAATAATTCATGTTATGATATCTGGAAATAATCAAGAAAAGTAAAGAAAACAAAATACGTATTCCTAATTATATTTTTTATTTGTTCTTAAGTTGGCAAAGCCAAATTGTTGGTGAAATGCTTATTTCATTTCCAGCTTCAATTTTAAATCTATTTGTTGATCCATCATATTTTTCAAATAGATTACAATTTCGATTGAAAAATTTAGATCATATTGAAAATATAATTACAAAATCTTCATTAATCACACAGTATAAACAAAAAACAAACAGTTTCATTTTTTTTCTAATTTAATATGTATATCTTTTGTTTTTTGATGAAATAGACATGAATTATCGACGGATTCAAATGAACCAATTTATTCATTTGATATGACAGAATTACATAATGCTCTTCAAAATTTACGAGAAAAAAATCATTCATCACGTTTTTTTAATCTTAATGTGCTCAATTATGAAGTTTGTTAATTTCTGCCTATTTTTCTATTTTGTTATCTTTTAATTTATACTTTTAAAAGGTAGAACATTCAGATGTTTCAAACATTCCAATTCAAATGTCATCACAGTGGACGCGCACATTTGATACTATTTCAGTAAATATAAAATATAGTTTCAATAGTTCTGCTTTCCCCAATTCAATTCGAATAAATAATGATGCAGTGATATTTTATACGATCATCACAGATGGACAAGAAATCAAAGAATCATTACCGACTGCTGCATGGTGAACGGTTTTTTCTTCTTTAAAAGGATAAATGTAACATCTTTTCGATGAGTAGGTCTGTGAAGGAATCTAAACTCTGGTGGAAAGTTCCATATGTGAATAATGGAACCGGAAACTTATCAGCAACAATGATCACTACGCAAAAGAATACAGTTGATAACGATCAACAACAACCATTAACAACATCATCGACTGTAAATGCTTATTTTCTTGGTGAAAATGCACTTTTTTCATCAATTGATTTTGATCTTGCTTGTAATGGGTATCGAATATCATTACTCAAAAAAAAAATACTCAGTGGTAAGTGTTCATTAATAAAAATTGAGTTAACAAAAAAAATTGATATTAGTTTCGAAAAAGATCGACTGTTTAAGTTTAGCAATTGTGCGATTGATTTCAAAATGAAACTTGATATAAAGGTTATATGTATATATAATTTAAAGTATTAGAAATTGAAGTGGTGATATTCAGATCTTTCTGTTTATTCATTTAGTATTCGAAAGACAATATCAGGGTTGTCGATTGTTTTAGGAGTGGGAGAGGAGGGGGAGACTAAAATTTTGGCAGATACTGTTCTCATTTTTCTGGCGTGAAAACTGTTGACCAAGGGGGGGGGGGGGGGAAGAAACGACACTAGTTTTCACTAGATCGTACCGTAGCTCCCCCTCGGATTTCCACAACAATCGGTCATTTCTCCCAGCAACCGTAAAAAATTGGCAGACAGTATTAAAAATTTTCGCAGACAGACAGGCAATTTTTTTTGGGGGGGGGGGGGAAGAGGATAGCCTCCCCATCCCCCATAATCGGAAAGCCTGGACAATATTAGAATTAACTCCATATATACACATATTCGCTATTGTTACTAACGAGGAAAATACCCGAAGTCATATCCGCCGTTTGAACTAACATTGAATTCACAGATGGATGTCGACAAGTCTAGAAAAATCTTGAAAGTCTCAAGCGATAAGAATGTTTCTTTGTCAAGATCTTCAACTTTCCAATAAACTTGATTTTTGTGAAAAACGAACTTTTTTTTTAAATTGAATATCTCGGCAAAGGAGCCTTGTTTTCGGTTGAAACTTTCAGAATATTTTCAAAGTCATCAGATCTACATATGCACACGACTTCAGATTGAAACTCAGTACCGCAGTCATAACTCGGCTCATGATCATAAACTCTTTTGTGACTTTTCCAGTCTCATTGAGACCCTGTAAAATCAATATTTGCTCAAATGGCACGTATATCAGCTCGAATAGTTCTCTCGTTTCATGAAAGTAGCAAGGAAGTCCTTCTGCATCCCAACTGGCTAATGGATTTTGAATCTAGATGATCTATATTGTGTAGATCTTAATGAGATATGAATATTCTAAAAAGAGTTCACGTTGTTAGCTTATTGCTATCGTGATACTGCATTTTTAAGATATTCGGTTCAATCAAAGGTATTGTCTTCTTTAAAGACAGAAGAAAAACTGACTTTCGAAATTCTATACATTGATAGTACTTAAACAAAAAGAATTTAAGGTGAGAGGTTCAGATCTTAATATACCACTATAGTAAAAAACGTGTCCGTTAACTTGTACATGCTCATTAGTAGATCCTATGATCTTAATTCAGGACAGAAGCAAATAAAAGATCGTTAATGTTACAATAAACTATTCTCTTTAAGATTTATCTCTATGCAAAATTTTGAAAATTAGTTGCTTCAATGTTTCTGAGAGTATCAGGTCTTCTATGTAAAAAATACAGTATTTTGGCAGCAATAAACTGATATGACCAACTCTTTTTAAAATACCAACATCCTTCTTCAGATTTACATGATGCACATTGTTCGGATCCAAGTCAAACACAGACTAATTACTTGGAAGACTTCTCTCATAAGTAGTTAATTAGAAGTCTCAAGAAAGCAATAGATTCTTTGTAGAATTCAGATTATATAGGTTGTACTCACAGACCAAATATCTAATCTTTTATTAAGATTGAGCGAAGATAATTAGAATCTACAAAACTCTTTCTTTGTCACAGAAGGATTATAAACACATCTAGACCAAACAGTTGCATAGCAAACAAATAATTAGACAGAAAAATGTTTATAAAGAAATTTCTTTTAACAAAAATCTCACAAATACTTATGTTGAATAAATTTAAATTATTTATCAACTTAAGGACAATATTAATAAATTAAAGGACTATTCAAAACGCATAAACCTTTTTATCTGTATTTTATTTATATTTAAACTCACTACAATAAAGTACTTTTCAATTTAACAAAGCTATTATCGAACAGTTCTTTACAATGATATTTATCTTAGCCTTTATATCTTTTTAAATAATATTCTTTAACACTTATTGGATTCTAGGTAAATATGAGTCTGAACCAGATCAAACTGAACCATTACATTTATTTCAACGTCCAAGCGTATCGCCTTCAGCTACTTTTTAATTAAATCCCAGTGCAAAATCACATAACAATGTGATAAAATTTTATAGTTCTTTCATGTAGTCTCAAAAATATTGGACACAAAAAATTACAGTATTGACAAGACGGTTCTTTTTTAATTAATTAATTTATTGTTATTATTTCTAAAATCTCTTAACGTTCTTTTAGTTGATATTAATATTTATTTTCTTTATTTTGTCAATAATAATTGTTTTATTATCTTTTTAATTTTGCTCAGAAAATATGTGCGTTTCAATTCACCCATTGTTCTTTATTTTATTTATATCAACGGATGTGTATTTTGTTGTGAAAAATAATAATAATAAAAACCTGCAATAAAATTTAAAACTCAATATCCTTGATCAGTTTTTCTTTTAATAAAATAATATCTTGTAACCAATTTTGACGAAAACGAAATTCTCCCGGATGATAAACAACTCTCATTGTTTCAAATACAAATGAAACTTGTACTGTTGTATTCTAATCAAATAAACAAATGTAATTTTCTTTGAACAATCATTATAATCATGTATTTACTTTAGGTTTTACTTTTGAAACATCAATTGTAAAATAAATCGAAACTGTTTGTCTTGGTATGGGTTGTCGTCGTGTCGGTATTGAATAACGTACCTAATGAAGAAACAAAATATTTACGAAATAAATAAATAAAAAGAAAATATTTACTCGGTATATGTATAGATCATTAAATTCTAATGATTTTCGTTCCAAGAAATCAATTGCATATAACCAACTGCTATCGTGACCACCTGATGCTGTTTTCCATTCCTTTAAATAAATGATGTAAAAGCGTTAATAAATTATAGTGTCCGTCTTAGGTAGACAATATTAAAAAGACATAAATATCGCAATATAGTTTCTTTTTTGTAATAGGATCGAAAAGGAATTCTTGATATACTGAAGGTGAAACGAACGTTATCTATAACTGTGAAAGGAAGGAGAATGTTACATATTTCATACTCCCTTCTACTCAGAAAAGTACAAGGTAAGATTTGATTTTCTACTCGACACCCTGATGAAGAAAATTTTGTAACCCTTACTCTGTCTTAGAAACTATGAACTCTTACTTGGAGTATCGTATTAGGATCAGCATTAGCATTAATTAATACGAACATGTTAATATTAAATTAACATTATTTAAGATGTTAATACATAGATTATCGACGATTAGATCTATAAATACTTTAAACTCAGAACTTCTCAAAATCAAAGATTTTTGTTCTGTTTTAGAAATAGCACCTCCGGTTAAAGAGATCTTTATTCTCTTTTACAAATGGCATTAATGGTTGCAAGAATCTTTCTTTTGTGTTTGGAAATGACACTCATGGTTGAAAGAATCTTTGTTCTACTTTAGTAATGGCACTTCCAGTTGAAACAATCTCGTTCTGTTCTGGAAGTAGCACTCACGGTTGAAATAACCATTGTTCTATATTGAGTATTGCACTGAATGTTAAAAGAACTGTTGTTCTATTTTCAAAATAATACTACAGGTTAACAAAACTTTTGTTCTGCTATCGAAAACTTTCGAGTATGCATCTTTAGAGATGCAGTCGCAAGTAACATATGTATTAAAATGAAAAATAATATTAATCGAATCCTAAAACCTTGCCTTTAATTCACTCTAATACAAATAATACTTAATCTTTAAGAGTAATTTAAATACGAATACCTAAACGATTAGGATTATTGCAATACTAATCTGAAATCTCTAATTCTTATCCAACGATGTGTTTGTGTCAGTCTCCCTTATTTCTATCTGAATTAGAAGACTGTAAAGATGAAAAATAGCTAAATATTATCACGTTAGAGATGTACAGTATAACCGTTTTATCGTACGCTACATCCTGATTGAGAAAACTTTTCTAGTCCTGACTTTATCCTATCCTACAGCGTAGAGTAGCCTTGTACATCTCATCTTCTGATTGAGCCAGTCTATCATACAATATAATTCATGTACCATTTCATTCATTAAGAAAAACCTAGACTGCCATCTGTTATTTATTAAAAATAAATTCTTTTACTTCTTCTTTCATATTTGCATTTAATAAATATTACTTTTAAGGAAATAATATTCTTAAAAATTAAGACTAAAATGAATTACCTTTTCAATATATTCATTTATTTTTTCTACGCCAATTTTTTCATGGGTAAATTCAGCGATACTTGGCCAACGAACTGATGAATGGCCTTTTGTTTTTCCTTCACTTTCTAATATAATAAACCGATCTCGTTGAATATTATATTCCTCATTATTTTCATCGGACGTTTCCTTTGTATCATTCACATGTGCTAATGATTGATTTACAAGTTGATCGATAATACGATGAGCTTCACGTGAAAATAAGTCATAATCTTCCAATTGATCTAAAGACTATAAAACAAAAACAAAGATCAAATCATTAATAGAATATGAAAATCATCTCAATTACGTGCCACAGGTAAGTCAAGATCGGCGACAGCCATTAGAAAGAAACTAAAACTATTCGTTTTCAAATATCTTCTGACATTATGAATGTCGTAACTATGGTAATGGTTGCGTAATTTTACTCCTATTGTTCTAATTTTTATCTATAAAAATTTTATTTATAATTCTTTATTATTTGAAATTAAATTTAAAAAAACACGATTTGTTTTGTTTTGTTGAATAAATTAAAACGATTTATTTTCTATTGGTTAATAATTTATGCAATAGAAGAGTTTTATTTTAGATTGCATATATCATTCGATTCTTATTTATTGTTTATTTATTGTCTATTTTAGTTCCTCTTTCATATCATAACGTCCTTCATCTTGTTGATATATTATTTATTTGTTTTTATCAAAAATACTATATTAAGATTATAAATAAATTTTAAAGATATTTACACTATGTTCTATTAAATCATTGTAAAATGTCTAGTAATACACAACCAACTTTATGGAAAACTGATCATACAGTACCTGGAAGGTAAACTCTTTTTTGATCAATTTGTCAATTACAATTTTTTCTTCTATAAAAGACCTGTTTTCGGTGCTCAACATCCGCCACTTTCATCGAAAACTTTAAATAAGTAAAAAAATAGAAGACTCTAGATAAAACAATTTTTTTTTAATTGATTCAAATTCTTTAGAAAGCCAATTGTAATGAATTCATCGATATCCAAGAAAAATGATCAAGAAAAATTTCATGAATATGCAATAAATACTGATGATGCTTGGGAAATAGATGATAGAACAATGTCTTTAAAACTAATCGAGACTGATAATAATAATAATGGAAATGATGATGATAATCAAACACAATTATTGAATATTTCAAAGCAGGTTTGGTGAAAAAAAAAATAAAATCAAACTGAAAAATAAAGTAATGTTTATTAAATTACTTAGGCAGTTGATGAAGTTGCATCAAGAGTTATACAAGAACATAAATCGAAAAGTCAATCAAATAAAGTTACACTTGATGCATCCGCCGGTAATTAAATTATGATAACATTTTTAAAAAAGCAGATACTATTATTAGATTTATAAGAGTAATCGTAAGAGAAACTGAGCATATATTCATAAAAGTGACGTATGGCCATCTGATAGGATTTTTTCTCTTTCGATACGGAGTTTTTTTTTTTGAAATAACGAATTTCGGTAAATGAAATACCGAAAATCAGAGATTTAAAAGGATATACATTTGACGTCACAAGTTTCGTTCTGCTTTTTATTTTTAAATTGCGTCCTACAACCAGGCTCAGACTTGACCGTGCAATTAATGAGATCTCGCTGTTTCAAAATATCATTACATTTTCGAAGTGGTAATTTATATCAAAAGCATAAGAGCGAAAACCTGAGAAATTTGTTGCATTCAAGAATAAATCACAGAAATAGAAGATGCTATCGTTGTAATAAAAGAATTCTTTTGTTAATGAAAATTCATTTGCATCTGACGATGAACCATATGATGAAGTAACTGAGTATATGAAAAGGAACCTGAATTACCAAAAAAAGAGGACATATATTATCATGATGGGAAAAACATGCATATAAATATCAAAAATTATGATGTATGACACGAATACTATGTTCCATTTTAACGTCATCAGTAACAAGCAAACGCATACTTAGCAAAATTCCTCGAATTTTAGAAGCAGAAAAGCTCTCAGTGTATCCTAAATCATTTGTCTTTTGTAGACTTTGAAATGATCTCTATGCTTTGTTGCTGCTTATGAAAAATAGTAAATAGTATACTTTTTCATATAAAATAAAAGTTTAAAAGTCTTACTGTGACTCTGAAAGTATCTGCTAGATCAGAAGCGTAGCCGGGGGAAGGGGGGGGGGGGGGTGCACAGGGTGTCTGGAGGGAAGTCCGAGTAAAAAAATCTTTTTGAGAAATAAAAATTTATTTTACTGCTGGTGTGTACCCCGATAATGAGTCGGCACACCTCTTGGAAAAGTTCTGGCTACGCCACTGTGCTGGATGTCGATTAGCTCCTATCGAGTATCAAGTACAGCTATTCGAATTCGGTTTTGAAAAGCCATACCCGTGTAGAACACTATTTTCGTAGTCGTATAGTGAGCTACGCATTATTTATTTAATATAATTATACTCCTGTATAGCAAGGCTGAAGTAGTGAAAAAAAAACTTCACATCGTTGTTACAGATCTTAGCAGTTTTGTCACATAGGCTAAACTCGATCAGCTATGGAATTAACATAACAAACTATGCTTCGAGAGATTGTTGTAAAGTGATGGAAAAAAGTTTAACAACAACGTAGTTTTCATTTTGTCTATATTGTTGAGCGCAAGTAGCTCAAATCGAAATAATGATTTTATTAGCATATGAAATTTTTCAATCCATTGCATTCTATAACAAGATTTCGAACATACTGGACACATTAGCTTTCACATTCTAGAAGATTTTCGCGGAGCTAGTTTTTTAGAATATCATTTTAAAGAGCGCAAAATAGAGAGTCGCTGCTTCATCGACAACCTTCGCTTGAAAACTTAAAAGTACAAAA